AGACAGTGTGGAAACAACAATCTGAAAAATGTCTGGGACATACAGCAGGGAGATTATTTGCTGTTTTGGGAGTGCTTCCCTGAGAGGGATTGTGCCTGGAGACTCCTCTCTGGGGACAAAGGAGCTGCCTAGCACCATTTCCCACCCCTGTCCCTCAGCATAAACACAGAACCACCTTCAGTAAACAGCACAGCACCAACACTGGTTGCCTAGTCTACTTACACCAGCTCCCACACTGCTGTGCTCTGCCAGTATGGCCCTTCTCAATCAAGTGTGCCCCAATCCCAGCATCCTGGGCCCCTTCCTTAAAAGACCAGCAGAAATTCCTGCCCATACCATGTCTCCTGACCAGAGACTTCTGCAGGGCTTCAGTTCTAGTGGAAGTAGCATCAGGTCTCATTTAACAGGCAGACCAGAGCAAACCTACTTAAAACCCAGCACACTATGGCCAAGGACCAAACACTGCCCACTGCAGGCAAGGAGAGCCTCTGCAGACAACTAGCCTGAAGGGTAGCAGCCAAAACACTATAGCAGCGTACATCCAGCAGACACTAGAGACATGATCTTTTCCTCATAAAACCATCTAAGGAGCAGGACACATAACAGACTTTTCTAACACAAAGAAGAAGACAGAAATTTAGACAAAATGCCAAGATGGAGGAATTCATCCCACATGAAAGAAAAAGATAAGGTCACATCCAGAGATCTAAGTGAAACTGATATAAATAACATATCTGATGGAGAATTTAAAACAACAATCATAAGGATACTCACTGGGATTAGGAAAAGAATGGAATATGTCAGGAAGGGCCTTACCACAGATATAAAATAGTTAAAAAAAAATTGAAATGAAACATGCGATAACTGAAATTTGCAACTGACTGGAAGCAATGAACACAAGAATAGAAGGAGAAGAGGAATGAATAAGTGATATAGAAGCTAGAATAATGGAAAATAATAAAGCTGAGCAAAAGAGAGAAAGAACTATGGATCACAAGAATAGATTTAGGGAACTCAGTGACTCCCATCAAATGTAATAACATTTATATTATAGGAGTCCCAGATAAAGAAGAGAGAGAAAAGGAGGAAGAAAATTTATTTGGGGAAATAATAGAAAAGTTCCCTAATCTGGAGAAGGAAACAGATATCCAGATCCAGGAGGCACAGAGAATTCCCATCAAAATCAACAAAGCAGGCCAACACCAAGACATATTGTAATTATATTTGCAAAATATAGTGATAAAGGAAAAAATTCTAAGACCAGTAAGACAAAAGTGGTCCCTAACTTACAAGGGAGGGTTCATAAGGCTAGCTGCAGATCTCTCAACAGAAACCTGGCAGGCCAAAAGGGAGTGGCATAATATATTCAACATGCTGAATGGGAAAAATTTGCAGCCAAGAATACTCTATGACAGCAAGGCTTTCATTCAGAATAGAAAAAGACACAAAGAGTTTCCCAGACAAACAAAATCTAAAGAACTTTATGACCATTAAACTAGCCCTCCAAGAAATAGTAAAAGGGACTCTATGTGGAAAGGAAAGACCAAAAGTGACAAAGACAAGAAAGGAACAGAGAAATCTCCAGAAACAAAACAAAACAAAACAAGTAATAAAATGACACTGAATACATACCTATCAATAATTACTCTGAAGGTAAATGGATTAAACAGTCAAATCAAAAGACATAGGGTGTCAGAATGAATTAAAAAAAAAAAAAACAAGACCCATTTATATGCTGCATACAAGAGTCTCATTTTAGAACTAAAGACACTTGCAGATTGAAAGTGAGGGGATGGAGAAACATTTATCACACAAATGGATGTCAAAAGAAAGGCAGAGTAGCAATACTTATATCAGACAAACTAGATTTAAAAACAAAGACTGTAACAAGAGATGAAGAAGGGCACTATATCATAATAAAGGGAACACTCCAACCAGATCTAAGAATTGTAAATATTTGTGCCCCCAACATGAAAGAACCCAAATATATAAAACAAGAACAAACATAAAGAACTAATTGATAATAATACAGTAATAGTAGGGGCTTTAACACCCCACTTACAACAATGAACAGATCATCTAAGCAGAAAGTCAACAAGGAAACAATAGCTTTGAATGACACACTGGACCAGATGGACTTAACAGATATATTCAGAACATTTCATCCTAAAATAGCAGAATGCACATTCCTTTCAGGTGCACATGGGACTCCAGAATAGACCATATACTGGGTCACCAATCAGGCCTCAATAAGTACAAAAAGATTGAAATCACACCATGTATATTTTCAGATCACAATGCTATGAAATTTGAAGTCAACCACAAGAAAAACTTTGGAAAGACCAAAAATATATGGAGGTTAAAGAACATCCTGGTAAAAATGAATGGATCAATACAGAAATTAAAAAAGATATTAAAAATACATGGAAACAAATGAAAATGAAAACACGATGGTCCAAAACCCTTGGGATGCAACAAAAGCAGTCATTAGTTGGAAGTATATAGCAATACAGGCCTACTTTAAGAAGCAAGAAAAATCTCCAATAAATAACCTAACCTCATACTAAAAGGAGCTAGTAAAAGAACAACAATTGAAGCCAAAATCCAACAGAAGAAGGAAAATAATTGAGATTAAAGCAGATATAAATGATATAGAAACTAAAAAAATAAACCAGATCAATGAAGCCAGGAGCTGGTTCTTTGAAAAAATTGATAAAATTGATAACCCCTAACCAGACATATCAAAAGGAAAAGAGGAAAGGGCCCAAATATATAAAATCACAAATGAGAGGATAAATTAACAACCAGTACTACAGAAATACAAACAACTATAAGAGAATATTATGAAAAATTATATGCCAACAAATTGGACAACCTAGAAGAAATGGATAAATTATTAGAAACATATGTACTACCAAAACTGAAACAGGAAGAAATAGAAAACTTGAACAAACTGATAACTAGCAAAGTAGTTGAATCAGTAGTGAAAAATCTCCCAATAAATAAAAGTCCTGAGCCAGATGGCTTTATAGTTTAACTCTGCCAAACATTTAGCGACTTAATAACTATTCTTCTCAAACTATTCCAAGGAAACAGAAATAGAAGGAAAACTTACAAACTCATTCTACAAGGACAGCTTTACCCTGATCCCAAAACCAGACCAAGACTCCACTAAAAAAGAGAACTACAGGCTAATATCCCTGATGAAGATGGATGCAAAAGTCAACATACAGATATCTTTTGCATTTCTATACGCCAATAATGAAGCAGAAGAAAGAGAAATCAAGGAATCAGTTCCATTTACAATTGCACCAAAAACCATAAGATACCTAAGAATAAACATAACCAAAGGGGTAAAGATCTGTACTCTGAAAAGTATAAAACACTGATGAAAGAAATTGAAGAAGACACAAAGAAATGGAAAAACATTCCATGCTTGTGCAATGGAATAGCAAATATTGTTAAAATGTCTATATTACCCAAAGCAATCTATACTTTTAATCCAATCCCTATCAAAATACCACCAGCATTTTTCACAAAGCTAAAATAAACAATCCTAAAATTTGTATGGAACCACAAAAGACCCTGAATAGACAAAGCAGTCTTGGAAAAGAAAAGTAATGCCAGATGCATCATAATTCTGGACTTCAAGCTATATTACAAAGCTATAATTATTAAGACAGTATGGTATTGGCACACATACAGACACATAGATTAATGGAATAGAATAGATAATCCAGAAATGAACCCATAACTCTGTGGTCAACTAATCTTCAACAAAGTTGGAAAGAATATCCAATGGGAAAAAGTCTCTTCAACAAATTATGTTAGGAAAACTGGAAGCAACATGCAAAAGAATGAAAGAGGACCACTTTCTTATACCATATACAAAAACAAATTCAAAATGGATTAAAAACCTGAATGTGAGACAGTAAACCATTAAAATCCTAGAGGAGAACACAGGCAGTTAAGTGCTTTGACATAGGCCGTAGCAACTTCTTACTAGATATATCTCCTGAGGCAAGGAAAACAAAAGTAAAAATAAACTATTGGGACTTCATCAAAATAAAAAGCTTCTGCACAGTGAAGGAAACAATCAACAAAACTAAAAGGCATCCTGCACAATGGGGGAATAATGGCATATCTGATAAAGGGTTAGTATCCAAAATATATAAAGAATTTATACAACTCAACACCTAAAAAACAAATAATCCAATTAAAGCATAGGCAGAAAACATGAAAAGACATTTTTCCAAAGAAGACATCCAGATGGCTAAAAGACACATCAAAAGATGCTCAACATCACTCATCATCAAATCAAAACTACAACTGGTGTGATATCACCTCACAAGTCAGAATGGCTAAAATTAACAATACAGGAAATAATAGGTGTTGAAGAAAATGTGGGGAAAGGGGAATCCTCTTGCACCAGGAATGCAAATTGGTGCAACGACTCTGGAGAACACTATGGAGTTTCCTCAGAAAGTTAAAAATAGAACCATCTATGATCTAGCAATTGCACTACCTGGTATTGACCCAAAGGATACAAAAATACTAATTCAAAGGGATACATGTACCCTGATGTTTCTAGCAACATTATCTACAATAGTCAAATTATGGAAAGAGCCCATATATCCATTGACTGATGAATGGATAAAGAAGATGTGGTATATATGTATATACATACATACATATATACACAGTGAAGTATTATTCAACCATAAAGGAGAGTGAAATCTTGCCATTTGCAACAACGTGGATGGAGCTAGGGGGTATTATGCTAAGTGAAACAAGTAAGTGCGAGAAAAACAAATACCATGTGATTTTACTCATACGTGGAATTTAAGAAACAAAACAAATGAATATGGGGGGCGGGGAAGAAAGACAGGAAAAGCAAGAAACAGACTCTTAAATATAGAGGACAAGCTGATGGTTACCAGAGGGCAGGTGTGTGGGGGGATCGGTTAAATAGGTGACAGAGATTAAGGAGGGCACTTGGGATGAGCACCGGGTGTTGTACGTAAGTGTTGAATAACCAAATTACACACGTGAAACCAATATTATGCTATATGTTAACTGGAATTTATTTTTTTTTTTTAATTTTTTTTTCAACGTTTATTTATTTTTGGGACAGAGAGAGACAGAGCATGCACGGGGGAGGGGCAGAGAGAGAGGGAGACACAGAATCAGAAACAGGCTCCAGGCTCTGAGCCATCAGCCCAGAGCCTGACGCGGGGCTCGAACTCACGGACCGCGAGATCGTGACCTGGCTGAAGTCGGACGCTTAACCGACTGCGCCACCCAGGCGCCCCTGTTAACTGGAATTTAAATAAAAACTTGGAAAGAAAAAAATTAAAACTATCATAATTTCAGTCTGCCATCTATGTATGTTTAAGCATGCAAATCTAATTAATTCACACATTTGTGTTGACTTTTGGCATATTAGAAATTTATGTGGCCTGTGAATTACAAAGGAACTGATAAACACAGGTATTTCTCAGCATTGGTAATAATCTAGCTGTCCTTTCTGTTGTAGCTGAAAGATACCATGTTCCTGGAACAGGTCAGAGCTACACATTAGCAGCTGATGTTGGGATACTGAGTAGGAACATCAAAATATTTGGTGAAGATTACCCAGGTTGGTTCAAGGAATCTTTTGGTGCACGTGTCCTGGTCAGCTCATTCACTGAAAATATGATGACATTTAAAGGTTGGTACAAATTTGAAATATAACATGGTCTCTTCTATGTTTAGTCATTTCTTAAACAATTGTCACTTCTTTTTAGGATCACACTGTTTAAAAAATTCAAGTGAGTACATTTTAAAGATCTTACTGGCTTTAATCAATGAGTTGTGAATCAGGCAGTGTCTGATCTAGCGGATAGAAAGGAGCTCCAAAATGCTGTGCAAGATGAAATGCTTTTACAGGCAGAAGGGAGCAGGTTACTTGCCTCTAGGGGACGGCAGGGGCTAATCAGGGAGATTACCTAACCAGTGCTGATCAGGTGATTCCTGACTGACTGGTTTAAGATTCCATTTCTGGGAGTGGAACTGTAATTAAGTTCAGTCTCAGTTTGGTGACATGGGGCCGAGCATAAGCAACTCCCAATTTGGGCCCGTTGTCTTGTTTTTAACACATGGAAGAATAAGGCCTTGAGAGGGATTATGTAAACCCAGGTGCTACCCTCAACAACCAAATCCCTAACATTTTTCTACTTATTTTATCTTCATAGACAATAAGAATTATTAATAATGACCTTAGGTAACAGCCCAGCTTCTCACCCAAACAGAAATCATTTGATAACAAGCACAATAGATCTGTTAATTTTGTTTGAAGGAAAATTTCAAATATATACAAAATTTTCAAACATAGAGAAATGTATAATGAACCCCAGTGTACCCATCACTAGGTACCACAATGGTCAACTTTGGTCATTCTTGTTTCAACTATACGACCACCCACTCTCTTCAAGCCCCTGGGTTATTTTGAAGCAACCACATACATTTTTTTATTGAGATATAATTGACATAACATTGTATAAGTTTAAGGTGTACACTGTATTTATGTTGATACATTTATATATCCCAATATGATTACCATTGTAGTGTCAGCTAACATCTCTTTCATGCACATAATATGTCTTTTGTGTGGCGAGAGCAATAAAGATCTAGTCTCTTAGCAATTCTGAAGTTACAATACAGTGTTGTTGACTGTAATCACTACGTTGTACATTAGATCTCCAGAATTTATTTAGCCGCTAGCTGCAAGTTTATACCCTTAAACAACATCTTCCTAATTCCCCACCACTACCACCCCAGCTCCTGGTAACCACCATTCTACTCTGTTTTTATAAATATGGCTTTTTTAGATTCCACATATGAGTTTCAGACAGTATTTGTCTTTCTCTGACTTACCCCACTTAGCATAATGCCCTCAAGGTCTGTGTGTTGTGGCAAATGGTAGCAAATGGTAAGAGTTCCTCTTTTCTTAAATGGCTTAATAATGTTCCATTGTTCATATATGCCCCATCTTCTTTATCCATTCATCCATTGGTGGACACTTAGGTTGTTCCCATATCTTGGGTATTGTAAATGAAGCAATCACATATTATTTCATCTAAAAATATTTCAGCATGCAACTTTAAAAGACTTTAAAAATGTTTGTAAGTATCAGATGCTAAAATGTTAATGTAATTCCTTATATCAAATGATTATTCAGACTCCCCCAATTTATTCTTTCTCCTTCCTTCCTTCCTTCCTTCCTTCCTTCCTTCCTTCCTTCCTTCCTTCCTTCCTTCCTTCCTTCCTCTTGCATTCCCTTTGTTCAAATCAGGATCTAAATAAGACCATGCTGCAATTGGTTGTGAATTTTATAATTTTTTTAAACATTTATTTATTTTTGAGACAGAGAGAGAGACAGAGTATGAACGGGGGAGGGTCAGAGAGAGAGGGAGACACAGAATCTGAAACAGGCTCCAGGCTCTGAGCTGTCAGCACAGAGCCCGACGCAGGGCTCGAACTCACAGACCGTGAGATCATGACCTGAGCTGAAGTTGGACACTTAACCGACTGAGCCACCCAGGCGCCCCTGTGAATTTTAAATATCTGATTCATGTATCTCTTCTTGCAGTTTATGTACAAAAGAACCTAGATCACTTGTTCAGTAGTATTTCCAACAGTCTAGAATTTAGTAATTCATCCCTAGAACTTCACTTGTTCCTGTATCCTTTGTATTTTCTATCATAGGTAGTTTAGAGCTAAAAAATTGGTCATACTCAGACCCAATTTTTAGGAAAGAATTCTTCATGGTTGACGGTGTACTTTTCCACTAAGTAGACATGTAATGTATGATTATTCCATTTGTGTCTGATAAGCTTCTTTTGTGAAGTTAGCAGCTATTAATGATCATTGCCTGGATCTGTTAAATCACTGAGGTTTAAAGTGGTGATATTTTAATTCTACCACTCCCTTCTTATTTGTAATCTAGAATATTTCTGTAAAGAGAAGCTTCCCCAGACAACTATTTGACTACCCTGAGAAATAGTTTATATACGAAGTGTAGGAAAAATGCCTGATTCTTTCCTATTATTACCTAGTTCTGAAGTAGTAAGTTGGTGCCCAACCATTTTCCAAAGGTGACAAAGCATCTTTATTTTTTGTTTGTTATTAGTGTCATGAGCTCTGTGGCTTTAAACATATTTGGTGTTTTCTAATCCATATATGGATTGTGATTGTTAATCTTACTGATATTACAAATGCCCAGTTGCCATTGACAAATGAAAATGCCCCATCACTGACCTTCAAAACATTTTCATGTTGATGCCTAAGTCCTTTTGATTTAGGTTTCGTTAGCTTCTTCAGTTTCTGATATGACAAACGCATGTCTTTTGTTTTGTTCTTCCAAGCCTGAGACTAAGTCATTCCTCCAAGTAATGCTGATTCTTTTATTTGGAAACTGATATTTCGATCCCACAATCTGGGTTCCAGGATTCACTCATTTATTCTTGACTTGAAATGTTTAGCAGGTCTTCACTTGTTCATAATTCTGCCTATTATGTTTTGCAACAGTTCTAATTTTAGAAAGCTTTTATACTGAGCAAGAAGTCATCCCAGTATAGCTTCTACCTGTTGGCTATAATCTGTCAACAGGAGCTTAACTGATGATAACAGTAATGATCATGGCACAATATTCCCGGCACTGTGCTAAGCATTTAACATATATTATCTCATTTAATCCCCATAGTGCTATGCATAAATATTGTCCCCTTTTAAAGACAGATAAATAGATTATTAGAGGGATGAAATTGCTCTGACCATGGATACTAATCCACACCTGCCTCACTTCAAATCCATGATGGATCCAATTCTCATGACAACTTTTCCTTGCTCCTATAAATTGTTTTGTGATGTTATACACATCTGTGGCTTTTATAGGCCCAGATGATCTGTAGTAACCATTTCTTCTCTGTGTCTAGCTTATGATTATGTTCTTCATCGTACATCCAATTGCTGGCTCATGGGTTTTGAGACAGGCTTCTCCCTTGCAGTACAAAGTAACTCTTCTCCACTGCATTTTGTTAAATATCAGTTTTTGAAACAGGAAATATCCTCTACTGTTGCTTACGAGCCATGATTCTCTGTGGCTCTATTTTCTTATATAGAATATAAGAATAATAAAACTTCCTAACTCATAGGATTTGAATTAAACCACAAATTGCCTTTCAAGCCCTTAGTGCAGCACTTGGCAGAGTAATCTCTCATGGAATGCTATTGCTGTTATTACTAATCTATGAAATTGCCTCTTGTCACCTCAATGGTACTTATGACAAACTGATGAGCAGATACTTACAATGCTTATTCTGGAAGGGATTATGTAAAGATAATGCCCTTAAAATCTCTTTAGAGCATCAAAATTGAACTGTTGGGTAAATTATATCTTGTGCTTTATGTCATGCGTTCTCAAAAGGGACAATATCACTACCAAGGGGATGAAAAATGGCTCTTACAGGACAAAAAAACTTAGATGAGCAATGGTTTGTGGCCCCCAAAGAGCCACCATATATTAACAGATATATAGTATATCTGAGGTATCGAAATTTCATGGGGAGGGGAGGCTATTAGAAAAAAGTCCAAAAAGGCCCTTGTGGAGGGCAGTGAAAAAAAGTCCGGAAATACTGCCTTATTTAGATTAAAGGAACAAAGAAGAACAAATGAAATTTCAATGAAAAAGTTAAAAACAAATTTGTTATTTGGAAAATTACAATTCTTATAGCTTACAAAAACACAAATTTTATTATTTCAAGAAAAAAAAAATGTAACTCTTTCTTCCCTACCCTGCCAGGAAATGCAAGGATAAGCAATGTGGAATTTTATCACTGTGGTCAAGAAGGCTTCAGGGATAGCACAGATCCAAGATATGCAGTAACATTTCTTAACTTAGAACAGGTTTGTACTTGAATTTTTGTGTATATTCAAAATGAAACATTTTGATTTAGATTTGATTTTCATTTAACTTTACTAAAAATGCCATATCTTAGAATTGCTAAAACTATGATCTAATGTAACTTCCTTAGATACATTTCGCACCAACTTTTTTAGACTCGTAGCATTTGATTTACCCACGTCACGCATTTAAAGTCAGTAAAAAAAAAAAAAAA